GGTGGAGGAGGGGGAGGAGGAGGAGGGCGGGTGGGAGGGGCTGCTGGGGGCCGATTGTGGCGATTCGGAGGATGATTTAATGGAGCACGCCTTGGACGCGGTGCTGGACGCGGAGCTGGGCGGCCGCGGGGATGGGCTGGTGGACGATTTCGACGACAGCTGGTTGATGATTCAAGACAACAAAGAGAAGAGAGGGGAAGACGACGACGACGAGGAGGAGGAGAAGGAGGAGGAGGAGGACAGCGATGATGATGATGATGTTGTTGTTGATGATGGTGATGATTATGATGATGATGATTAAAACGTGTGACTTCAAGGGGGCCCACCGGAAATGTTGGGAGGGAGCTGTTGCGGGCGCGGAAGGGGAGGAACGGGAGACGTTTCTGGTTTGGGGGGAAGGAAAAGAGGCGCTAAAGGTTTTTCTTTGCATTGTGTAGCCCTACCCTACTCGTGTAGCCCTACCCGGAAGCACCCCCTGAGGATTTTGGGTTTCTGGTTGCTGTACATGTGTGAGTGAGTATTTGACCAGGTTCTGACTCGCGCCAAACCTTTTTGACTCTGCCAGAGGTTGTTGCTGTCGGCTGTAGAGCGCACACTGAGAACACACGAACCAGGAATCGGGATGCCACAAGAATGCAGGGAAGCGGGAAGCGGGGCCCGGTCCCCGGGGGATTGCGGTGGCGGTGTGTGGGGGAAGGGGAATGGAGGACCGGAAGAATGTCTTCCCAATGTTCCGCAATGCCCTTTCCACAGGCACAACAGGGCGGCAGATGAGGGGGAGTGTCGAGTGTATGTGTGTGTGTGTGTGGATTGTCGTGTTTTCACGGGTTCGGATTCAGGGGGAACGACGCGAGGGTTCGGGTTCGGGTTCGGGGGGGGGAAAGACGAACCACTAGCGAGTGAGGCTGATGCCACGGACAGACTGATGCGCCAGAAGGACTGTGAAGGAGGCATAACTGACCAGTCGACGCATGTGAAGAAGAAAGGGGGGTAACGGAGCATAGGTCTGTTGGCAGTGACGTAGATTGGGGATGGAGGAAGAGGAAGAGGAAGAGGACGGGGGAGTAGAGGAGGGAGGTGTGGGTTTGTGTGGGTTTGCATTTCCGTTTCCTGCGGGACGGGAACGGATGTTGGGGTAGCTGGTGCGTGAGTCCAGACCACGCAGTTTTGTATTTTTATATATATGAAATAGTACAGAATCGGCACCGGCGGAGGCGGCGCATGTGAATGGCGCTACAAGAGCGTCCATAAAAGCCCAAGGGCCCCGGTCAGCCATAGCGTTGTGCGCGCTTCACCTTTTTTGGGCGCCGGGTGTGGAGCATTTTGCAGGTGCAGGGGGGTGTTAAATTTTAACGGTTTCAGGAGCGTTGATGGGAGCCTTCCCTTGACCTCCTTGTGTACGGCAGGGGCAGTTTCTCCCGCAAAGAAGCGACTGGGTTCGGAGCGGAGGGCCAGGCGGCGCCCAACTAAGCGATTAGTTTGTTTGGGCTCCGGCAAGCGTGTGCTGCTGTCTTAAGATTTTGCTTGCATGCTTCTACAAGGAGCCGTTGCGACATGGGTTTTAAGCTGACTCCCCGGGTGTGATGTGTAAGGGGGAGGGGCCCTGGAGGTATGGACGATGCGGATGTGCTCCAAGGCTGAGGGACCGAGGAGCGCGCACATAGACAGGAGCCTGGACCTAGGTGTCATGATTGCAAATTTGTACTAATATCGTCCGCAACTCGTTTGTCGATCGCTGGTGTATGTGTCTGGAATTCGGTTGTACGATCATCAGCCAAATAACCAACGAACTGACACCCGACGAGCCGAAAATGATGCAATTTCTTAGCGAATACAAGCATTTCTATGAAATGTTACTTATCTTAGTACTTGAAAGGGCATAGGCTCCGTTTCTCGTTGGGATGCCACGATGATTACAAAGAGGGCCGAGCGACTTAAGCCAGCTAACAACCTACAAGATGTAACAATGATGACATAACAAACTAAACAACAACAACGACTTAAATAGTTATCCAGAGCCTAGGCGGCGCCGGAAGGTCGTACATTATCCGTATCTCAAATGATCGTCCACGAGTAAAGTTAACGACTTAACAACTAACAAGAAAACCTAACATGCCCCCCTGCTTAGCTCAAGCATCGGCCTCGATGCGACCAAAGTACAAACTATGCTAAGTCGTGCGCCGCTCCGATTCCCTGAACGAAATCGGTACCAGGCTAACGAGGGGAAGGCAAAAGGGAACCGGAGTCAAGGCAAAACCTTCCCCGCACTGGATACCGGCCTAAATAAGGCGCACGACACCTATACTTGCCGGTCTGAGGAACCGGTATATATCCCAACGAACGTGTCCAAAACATCCACAAAGAGTACGCAAACCAAAAGCCTAAGGCACGGAAAGCAAACTCGGTGGATGACAAAAGAACGCAAGAGAACGCGAAAATACACAACATGCAACACGCAATACCCCGAAAAAAACAGAAGTCAAGACACGACACGCGCAAAACTGAGGCGAAATAACCCAAACTGAAACACACAGGACACGAGTCACACACAACACACATCCTATGCGTAGCGCTAGGTTGTCACGAAGTGCACTATCCTCGGGGCGCGTTCCGGAAACTTCGCTCTGAACCAGGCATAGCGGTCGGACAGCTTAAACGAGGTCCAGGCTGGGGTCGCCAGGAAGGCACGAAGTGCTGGAAGGCTGCGTACGTCATCGTACGGTTCCCAGGACGCGTCACGGCCACTGGCGGTAGACCACTGAACTAGGAACATGACGGACGGCCGACCACGTCGGTTATAACCTAGGCGAACTGCAGTAACGATAGTGTCGGCGTGGTCGTACGGTGACTCCAGTGTGATGGGCACGGCGGGTGGAGCTGGAGGACGACGGTGAGAAGGCTGGTGATAAGATTAGCAACAGTAGGTTGAGGTGAAGGGCAGTCCGATGGTTGGGGCAAAGGTGCTGGATGGGGACTGGAGAAATGAACGATGAGAGTTCTGACAGACTTGAAGGCGATGACGGATGGTTGGCAGAAGATGGTGAAGGATGGGACGAGGTGGAAACGGGGTGAAGGGTGGTATCAGGGAACAGGGTGGGGGATGAAGACGTGAGAGTAAAAGGGTGTAATCGCTGTTCGCCTGGAATGCTCCCGTCGTTGTCGAGGTTGCAGCTGCACGAGCACACTTGCAGCCGGCAAGACGGGCAGGCTTACGGACGATTTTCGCGAGACGAAGAACGTTGGTGATGACGACGAAGTAGGTGACGACGGAGACGACGAGATAAGAGGAGACGAAGACGACGAAGTAGGTGACGATGGAGACGACGAGATAAGAGAGGACGAAGACGGTGCGCGAAAGCATCCAGTCGCTGTCCACCCGGTGCGCTTCCGTCGTGGAGGCTGCAGCTACACGAGCACGCATACAACCTACATGGCGGGCGGGCTTACTGGCGATCTGGGTTAGGCGCGAAACGTTGAACGGTGACGGCGGCGGGGTGTCAGACTCGGCTGACCGTTGCACAGCAAAACGCACCGGCAAGCTGTGGCTAACCTGTTCTGCCGGTGGTGGCTTAAAGGCCACGTTGACGGGATCGAGGCGAACGGCGGCGGCGGCGGGGTGGGTCGGCGCGGCGGTGCTGGTCATCGCGGCAAGGCTGGGGGCTGTCTGAACTGGAGAGAAAGGTGCGTCCACGGTCGTTGTCCTGACGACGGCGGTCGGAATTGTCGGTGCGAGTCGGAGAGGGGGAGGGGGAGCGGGAGGGAGAGCGGTTTGCGGTTCGAGAGGTGGTGGAACGAAAGGGCGAGCGGTCGGTGGGGACGTTGATGGTGCAGGTGCCCTGCGGTAGCGAATGCGGTGAGCGGTGAGCGGCATCGTGCTCCATTGAAATGGTGCATGCAAGGTCGATCACATCCTGCAGTCGTATGTAGGAACCCGGGTTGCGTAAGTGCGAGAAGATCTCCTTCCTGAGGTCGTCCTGCAGTCCCTGCGCGAAGAAGAGGACGTGGTCCTTCTCGTGGCGGTACGGCAGGTCAGCCATAAGGCGTTGGAATTCCGCAATGTAGCATTGTAAGGAGTTTGGTCCGGAACCCTGCGTCAAGGCAAACATAGCAAGCTGCGCTTGATAGAGTCCCGTGATGGGGACGGGAGCCATCGGAGGATGACGAAGACGAAGATGACGAAGACGACGATGACGAAGATGACCAGCGGAGCGAAGACGAAAGCGATGACGACGAAGACGATGAAGACGAAGGCGGAGCGAAGCGTATAGGCCGGATCGTCTAGATCGATACCAACTGAAAGGGCATAGGCTCCGTTTCTCGTTGGGATGCCACGATGATTACAAAGAGGGCCGAGCGACTTAAGCCAGCTAACAACCTACAAGATGTAACAATGATGACATAACAAACTAAACAACAACAACGACTTAAATAGTTATCCAGAGCCTAGGCGGCGCCGGAAGGTCGTACATTATCCGTATCTCAAATGATCGTCCACGAGTAAAGTTAACGACTTAACAACTAACAAGAAAACCTAACAGTACTTACCTTTGAAGGATTCATTGACTGAATGCATTGCTAGACTCGTTAAACCTCGACATTACACGTGCAAACCAACATTAGCTACAGTGAACTCCAATTTGTATAAGTGTATCTCGAAGTGAAGGGAAAGAGCGCGGTTCTCCAATGGTTGGCGGCTTGCGAATAAAGCTAGTACGATGGGGCTTCAACGTGAGAAACACCTTGGACTTCATCTTCTGTTGCCTAGACTTCTTTAACAATCGGTTTCATGTTAATGCAGCTAAGACCATTCTATGTGCTGTCGGTGATGCAAAGGCGTCAAGCGCGCAACTCGGGCTCACGAAAGGAGGACATCGGCTGGTGGGATCCGAATCCCGGTATGGCCTCATCGCAGGCAGAACCCGCCCTGTGTACATGAACCATTATCCTTAACGCGTGCTGTCTCCCCTGCACAGCTGCCGATGGTAACATGCACCTGGGCCTCAAAATGGACAGATTAAAGTGGGTGTTTGCGGCTTGTGCGGAAGCGTTTTGCGCCCTGAAGCTGTCTTACGGCCAGTCCCCGGCTGCAGGTACTGGTTGACCATCGGTGCCAAGCCAACAGACAAGGTAGCTGACCTGCTGGGTTATGTGGGCGTCCTTCCCCAGGTACCTAAGCCCCCTATGTACAAACCTCGGGACGCGAACGATGACACGAAATGGCGCCCTGAAAAAGCTAGTAAATAAGGCAACCCAGTTCGAAAGAACATGGAAACTTAGCGAAGGGCAGGACGTCACGACTGGTGTACTATTGCTCTTCAATCGGAGTCTACGTGTGGACGGCGGACTGAGCACTGTGGGAGCGCTAAGCAAGTGCGATGTGATGCGGTGCGATGTGCAGCCGTCAGGCAGCGGGCTGGGGCACGCGGGCCCCCTCCGCCTGCGCCAGTGCTCCCTCTGGTAGGCCCCGCCAAGCAGCACAAGCACAGCAGCAGCAGCAGCTGTCACAACAGCAGCAGGGCTTGTTCAGGCCTTCTGATACAGCGTTTTTGCTGTCATCACATGCCTTTAGTTTCTGCAGTAGCCCCGTCTGGAGCCCCGGGTGTAACCAGGTAGTGTAACCCGGGGCCTTACCTGGTTACATTATTCAAATGAAGTCCTGCACACACGTGCACACCCGCATGTGATGTGGGGATGTCGATGGCGGTGGCTTGGCATGCGGCTGCGTGGTGAGGTCAGGGTGCTTTCTTCTGGCTGACTGGGTGTCGTGCATCCCGACCGTGCGCCATGCCGTCTACGCTTGGCATTCCATGGACCCTAATAGTCTGACGTGCCTGCCTGAAAGGGGGGCTTGCGCTGGGGTGCTTGTGTGTAAGCGGTGTGTAAGCGTAAAGGTCAGCCCAGGGCCCGGGGCAGCAGCAGGAGGAGCGTTTTACGTGTGTATGTGTGTGTGTGTGTGTGGTGCACCTTCATGTGTTGGCGTCGTCCTTATCGATTTGGAGGGGGGGGTCGGGGTGGATGTTTGTAGGTCCGACCTTTGGCGGCTGGTGGCTGATGGTGGAGGTCTTGTGCATGGCGATTTATGCTGGCGTCGAGCCGTATCTCGCTCAGTTAGCCCAGGTTGGAGAGGTTTAGGGAGAAGTTGGAGAGGCGGAGGGCGTGTGGAGGGTGGCGGCCGAGGGTTACGAGCCTGGTGCTTCCACAGCTGTGCGGCGCCAGGAAGGGCGGATTGTCTTTTGTAATTGGACGGAATGCAGTGCTGCTTTAAGGACCAAGGGGGCAGAAAACTTGGATGCACGCAGAGACGATGATGCGGTGGCATGACCGCGGGTGAGTACTTTTCTTTTCAGTTGGGAAGGAAATGCCCTGCTTGAGCGATTTGTGAGCTGTTTCTTTCTTGGGGATGGGGCAAGCAGCTGAACTAGCGGGGTTGGGCGCGGACAAACGTCTGTATGCGCGTTTAACATGCATAGAAACTGTCACAGCAGCTAAAGTGCATGAGAGCTCGTCTCTTGCGCTGTTTCATGGGCAGCAACAAGCATGGCAAGTATTTGACTTCGGTCACCACGCGTGATACGCCGTACGGCGTTTCTCTCCTCGCTTTCATTTGTTACTCTCCATGTTTTAGTAGTAATTTAAAGTAGCTGTTATGGTGCATGGGTTGCTCACCAGACGCTGTATGTCGCCGTTCAGGTACAATTAAATGAAGGTAGATTTCGGAGCGCACGGGTCCTCACCTAGCTCATGTGAAGGCCCAATTCTGTACATTACATCCAATTATGACTTTTTGCCCAGGAGATATAATGTGTTAATGGACAAAGCAGCTTCAAAGCATTCCGGTCTGCACAAAAATGCTCCTATGACTACCTGCGATGCATCAGCACGTTTATTGCGCTGTCGAGTATAGTACAAGGACACAATACCAAACCAAGTTTGTGGCTTAGATAACTGCCAGCATAATGTTTTCAACTGTTCCGTGTATGTGGACGCGTTACCGGTTATAAGTCGCCAAGCAACACCGAAGTTGACTATGCGTCGTCATGGACTCCAGACACCGCTGGACCCCCACCAGGTTTGCTTTTAGCCCGTCACGCTGCTAGCCATTCGGATAGTTCTGAACTGCTCACAGCGCGATTTTTCTGCAGCTGGCTTCATGGTTTGTCTTCTTTGCTTTGGCCAGTGGCGTGTATGCGTTTTACTTGCCTTTCGTTGAGGACGCGGGTGTTCGGTGGTTCCTCGTGGCACTGTATTCAGTCCTAGTTGTGGCCATCGTCACACTGGACCTTTACACAAGGTAAGTGCGTTCATGGTCGTGTCGTTCTTTGAGCCAATGGCAGGGCAGCCTGAACCTGACCCAATTGGTCCCTTCCCTTGTCGCCAGTTGCTTGGACCCTTCAGACCCGGGCCTAACAGGGGCCACAGACGGAGAGTTTTTCTGCGGGTTATGCCAGGTATGTTGGAAGTTTGTGATGCAGCTCGCGTGTATGGTGGCCTAAACGCGCTCGCTTACTACCCGCAGGCAAGCGTCGCGCGAACCAGCAAACACTGTCGCGCTTGCGACCGGTGCGTGGAAGGTTTCGACCATCACTGCAAATGGCTGAATAACTGCGTGGGGGTCCGCAATTACTGGTACTTCTTCGGGTTGATTAGCAGCACGGTCAGCTTGCTCACCTTGCAACTCGCCTGGGGCTTGTGGCTATTCATACGCAGTTTCACAGAGAAGGATGAGATGCGGGACCTTGTGTCCGATAAGTACGGGAAGAGCGTTGTTTACGGGGGATGGCAGGCAGCCCTAGCCATCTACATGGCTCTCCTGGTGATATCCGTGGTCATGCTCGGCGAGCTGTTCTTCTTCCACGTGGTCCTGATCAGCAAGGGATTGACCACCTACGATTACATCATTGCGCAGCGGGATGCCAAATTGGCAGCACCGACAAAAAGCTCAGGAGCCAACATGAAGGGATGTCGCTCCAGCCGGGTCGCCGACACGACCACCGCAAAACGCAAAGTAAGGGTCGGTCTCAACCCGTGCGCCGCAATGCGCACATCCAAGCCTGTGAAGGGCAACCACCCTGTATCGTACGACGCGGCCAGCAAGGTCGGCAAGGCTGGAGCCGCGGCTGCAGGCGGCGGCACCCCAGGCTACCCGGGCGACCCTGCAGCCACAGACCTCACCACCTCTCCGCCCGCTGTCGGAAAGCCTTTGCAGCTTGGCGCTCTCGGAAGCGGCTCCCTGGGGAGCAACTCCTCCTCCGATGTCGGTGGCAGGGACGGTCTGGGACTATCGGAGAAGGCCGCCGCCGTCGCAACCGGCAGTGTACAGGAGCTCGTAGCTCGCGCAGTGGCGGAGCAGACCCTCTTTAAGCAGCCGAGTCTGCGGGAAGCAGCGGTGTTGCGCGGCCTGTTGCCATTGCCCAGCCCCTCGGGAGCTGGAGGCGGCGGCGGGGGGGTTCCTGCCGGCGGTCCTGTCTTTGGCGGCCCTGGAAGTTGCGTACCGGAATGCGGAAACATCATATCGGAAGCTGGCGGCGACGCCACCACCGCAGGGAGCAGGCCAGTGATGGGTGACGAAGAGTTCATGTCGCTGGAGCTGGCGAAGTGCCAGCATCAGCAACAGGGCGGTCCTAACCTGGCGGCAGGCGGCATGGCTGCGGCAGCCTGCACTTTTGGGACGACCCATGGGTCTAGACATCTGGGTTCATTTGGGTCGCTGCCATATCGCTCCGGGAGTTTGGGTGGGGCAGCGGGGGCTCAAGGCGTCGCATCAGCAGCGCCGGCAGTGGCAGTGCTAGCGCCATCAGCAGTCGTAGGGTTGGGGAATTTTGATGCAGCGGCGGCGGTGCCGCAGCCCGCTGGGAGGCACCTGGGGGGTCATACGGTCTCGCCACGCGGACTTGCGGGCCCGACGGCAGCAGCGGAGCCGTCGGCGGCGGCGGCGGCAGTGTCCATGGCCCTTTCGAGAGCGGGTTCGTTGCCGCCGTTGCTCTCGGCGCCGAGCTTGCCTGACTTGGCAGCGCCTGGTGGCGGTGCCGGCTCTCGGAGTTTGTTGTTTCCTTCCAAGTCGAAGTCGCCGCGGGGGACAGTCGGGGGCCTCCGAGGAGGAGAGCTTCCAACAACACCTGAGTGAAGCAAGGAGCGCGTGTCGTGGGGATTGTGGGTTCTCGGCTTCTCGGGCCTGGTTGCGAGTGTGTATAAAGGGGCAGGTGGTTGAAGCTACTGTATTTGTTGAGGCGCGCGCGAGTTGAGGTGGGTTGGGAGGGGTAGGGGGTGAGAGGTTTTCACTAGAGGCGTGAATAGGCGGTAGATGAGTAGGTGTGGCTCTGCATGCATGTGTGCATTCTCTAGGGTAGGAGTAGAACTGGAGAGGATGAAAGGGGCCAAGGGGCGGCTGTAGAATGCGCGCGGATTGGGCGATTGGCCGTGACGGTCATTGTTGCACAAACATGTACGGCGTGAGAAATGTTTTTTATTCTTGATCGATGTTCTAAATACATCACCGATGTGTATGTATATGCAGACTGGGCATTGAAATTTATGTCCCTTTTCCATGCTTGGACGACCTCGTTTCGTTGACGGGTATCCTGACAAAAGCGCTTTAGCGCTGCGTGCAATTCAGCGCTAGGCTTGCTAATAGTTCAGGTATATTTAGCGAATCATATGTAAGTAATGGGAGGATTTGGGGCGCCGGATCGTGGCGGCAGTCGCGAGGTAAAATTCCATGGGTGTAATAGGTTTGGCACCTAGATAACCGCTGCAATACCATTTTGTTTCGTAGGGAAAAAAGTCTCTTCGTGGTAATAAGCAGGCGCTTCAAAAGCTTGTAAAAGATGAGCAGAAGGGCCACGTCAAGGCAGCACCCCGCCCCACGCTTTCGGAGAAGCCGCCTCCGGCTCTGCCTCCTACTTCCGGAGAACGCGCGCTCGTCGACGCGGCAGCTCAGCTAACAAGCCGCCAATTTGACCGTGACCAGTTCAAGGTAGCAACGAAAATCCTTCCGTTGGCTGCCGCTCGTCCATACGGCTCGGAAACACCATCCGCAACCCTGGAATGCAGACGATGCGCTTTTCTATATGTGAAGTGAAAATCGCTTCCATAACATGGACGACTTCCATGTTTTGCCGGCGTCCGGACTGGGCCCATCCTCTGTGAAACATGCACACAAGAACCTACACCCCTTTGAGGCCTTCCTTTTCCTCCGGCTTCTTGCCCGTTATTAACATCAAACGGCCTCGGCCTACCCGCACGGAACCTAACGCGCAAAGCACTAGTCGGTAGCACCCTTGCTGCAATTCCTTGTTCCCCTGGCCCGCGTCCGGCCGCGCGCAAGCCTACCAGCGCGCCTGCACTTGCTTCTAGGTCTCACCCCGGTCCGCCGACCTCCCACTCTTCCTAGGTGCATCCTGCTGGACAGCCCCCTGTTGACGAAATAGCCAGGAAGGCCCCGCCGTGTGTATGTGTGTGTGTTGTGTTGGGGACGGGGGAGAGGAGAGAAAGAGGGGGGAAAAATAAGAGGTGGACCGGAGGTTGGGGATCTCCAAGGCGCGTCGTTGCGGGAACCTTACCTCCCCGGGGGGCCCTTAACCCGCAGCCGGCACACCATCTCACTGCTGGCCCGCACCCACACCACTCCGGAGGTCTGGTCCGCATAGCCTTGCCGCATGCGCGTGTGTTCCCCCTCTGCTCATAACCCTTCCCCCTCCCACACACTCAACCCAATCCCACTCACTCACCCCCGCGTCCTGAGGAGGTTTGCATTATTTGAAATATCCCTCCCTCCCTCCCTCGAGTTCCTTCTTGCACGCGATTTCTTCCCGCAAACTCCCACCCCACCCCACCCCGCGAGCCGCCCGGCAACCCCGCGTACAGCAGCCCCACGTCTTCCCCTTCGCGGCCTCCACTCCCCGTCCCTCAACACTTTTTACCGATCGGTCGTTCGTTCCTTCGCTCGGCTCCCGCTGCGGCTCCTGCCCCGGCCCCTTCGCAACAGGTGCTGCAGCGTGCCGCCTCCGCGGGTGTTGGACCCATCATCGCCTACACCACGGATGACGCCAAGTTGGAGGCCCTGGTCCGCACCGCCAAGGAGAATGCGGGCCAGGTGTACTGTGTGGTCGGGGTACACAGCGATAACATAAAACGCGCCAATGATAGGCAAGTGCTGTGCATTACACTGCAGTACCGTCAATCCAGGTCAATGAAGAAGAGCAACAGGGTCTCATTTCGGAATGTGGGAGGGAGGGGGAAGGGGGAAAAGAAGGCGGAGAGCGTGTGTGTGTATGTGTGTGTATATATGTCTCAGGGGCCCCCTCAGGGATGGCGTGGAGGTTTCTCCCGTCAGGCCCGTCAGCCTTCCTCTCACTGCTTTTTTCGTTCTCTTTCATTACCGTCATCCCGGTGTGCGTCCCTCCTTCCCCTTCCAGCGAAATGAGACCCAAAATGACATGTCGTACTCCTCAGACCCCCCAATCCCCCCGGGAAAACCCGGGGGACGCTGAACGGCCCGCCCCCCCCCTAGGCTATCACCTGCTCGTTTGGAGCAGCTCAAGGACCTGGCGCTGGAGGCGAGCTGCGTGGGGGTGCTGGCAGGTCTAGCTTTCCGCGATGTGGGTATCCGGTACGCCCAGGAGCGGGCGCTGACGGAGCAGATGGAGCTGGCGGCTGGGGTGGGGCTGCCGCTGGTGCTGTACGAGGTGAGGGAAAGATGATGATGGTGATGATGATGATGATGATGATGATGATGATGATGATGATGATGATGATGATGATGATGATTGATGATGATGATGATGATGGTGATGATGATGATGATGATGATGATGATGATGATGATGATGATGGCGATGATGATGGTGAGGATGATGGTGAGGATGATGGCGAGGATGATGCAATGCAGTCCCACACCGTACATCCGAACGCAGGTAAGGGCCGCGGAGGTGCTGGCGGAGCGCATCTCCGAGTTCCGGTGCGGCGGTGCGGGGGAGGGCCGCGCAGCCACCACCCCCATCGCCATCTTCAACTTTGGAGGGAGTCGGGAAGAGCTGACCACCTTCCTGGAGCTCGGCTGCCACATAGTACTCACTGGTACGTCTACGCGCGCGTGTGTGTGTGTGGGGGGGGTGTTGCGCTCCTCCTTTCCTTGCTCATCCCCGCCCTTCTCATCCTCCCCCATCTTACAGGTCGGGTGTGTGATTCCACGGAGAGGGGGGAGCAGCTAAGAGAGCTCGCGGCCCTCATTCCCAGGGACCGCATCATGCTGGCGTCGGACTCGCCCTTCACCACGCCGCAAAACATACCCGACGTCTTTGTACGAGAGGGCCGGAACGAGCCGTCCAACCTGCCGTACGTGCTGGAGGCGCTGGCCCCGGCGCTGGGCGTCACATCGGTGGAGCTGGCGGCGGCGACGCGGCGGAACACGTTGAAGTTCTTTGGGGTTCAGGAGGCCGCGGAGGCCGCAGCGGAGGCTAATGCGCAGGGAGAGGCGGACGCAGCAGCAGCAGCAGCAACAACAGCAACGTCGACGGCGGAGGCGGGCAGCAAGCCGGTCGCATCGCCGTCGGCGTCGTCGTCAAAGTCACATCTACAGCAGCCCCAGCAGCGGCAACAAGAGCCTAGTTCGGGTGCCGTACGCCGGAAAAAAATGAAGTCGGTTGGACTCGATCTCGCGCCCTGCGGCGCTGGCACTGGCACCGACGGAGGGCGGAAAGGGGAGGAGGGGCGGGTAGCTGGCAATGAAGAGGAGGACGAGGGAGAGGAGCGAGGGGATGGTGGCGGGCGCAGCCGGGAACAGAACAAGAGGAGATCTTGTCGGAATGCTGCCAGGGCGGCGAATTTGTTTGCGCTCATGAAGCTTCGAGAGGGGGACGGCGAAGATTATGAGGAAGAGGACGGAGATGACGACGTCAATGATGACGATGACGACGATGACGATGATGATCATGGTGATAACGGCGGCGGTGACAAGGACCGCATCGGAAGCGGTGCTGCTGCGACTTCAACCTCACTGTCCACCGTCGCTGCAGCAGCTGATATTGCTGTAACTTCTACTACCACTGCTTCCACCGTTGGTGGGCGAGGGAAGGTTCAGGACGGTCGATCAGCCGTCATGCCGCCGCCACTTGCCCCCCGTAATTTCGTGGCCGAGGCTGCAGCTGCGGCGGCGGCGGCGGCGGCGGCCAAGGCACCTGCGGCGGCAGTGACAGTGGCTGCTCGCGGTGGCGGTGGTGGTGATGGCCCCCGGGTCAGTTACGCTTGCCGCGGCTGTCGATCGGTGCTGTTCACCGAAGCGGACGTGGGGCCTCATGAGGATGAGGAGCGCGCGCTGTTCGCCGCGACAAAGTGGGTACTGTATTGTACTGTACTGTCTAACCCTCGATACCTTTAAACCTGCAGTGCACGGCACCACCCGCAAACCCACAAACCATACACCACAGCTCCGTGTGCTTTGGATGTGTGTGTGTATGTGCGTGCGTGCGTGCGTGTGCGCGTGTTTAAGGTATGTTGTACACCAGCTATATATATGTATATATATTATATGTATATGTTGTACCAAACTTGTAATGTGCCGCACAACAGTGCACCGCATTATTGCCGTAAACCTGTGTGGGTGTTTTTTCCTTCATCTTATGTTACAGCACATGGCATTGCAACGCAACGGACCTTGCCACCCCGTCCTTGCCACCCCCATATTCAGATGCGCTTGCCCATGCTACTCGCTTTGCCTCCTGGTAAACGACTGGGAATTAACGTAGCACAGCACCAAGCAGCTCCCCACTTGGGAGCCGAGTTGGTGTTTTCTTCTCCATGCCTACCTCCATTCCTACCTGGCCTTGCTTTTGGGTTCCAGGCCGCACAAGAAGGGGCGCCCCGGGCGGCGAGGCAATGACTCGGAGGCCTCGCTTTGCAACATGCACTTCCTGAGGAAACCGCTGGCGTGGATGGAGGTGGGGGCCCCGACGACAAAGTACATTGAACCAGCAGCAATAACTGTTGCTGCCGCTGCTGCCGCTGCTACTGTGCCAATCAGCGACTAGGGCCACGTACCCATAGCGCTGCTTCTGTGGGGAGGCGCTCGGGGTTAACTGCTGGGGCACTCAAATCTGGGGATGGGGGTCCGCAGTTGTTCGCGGTCACGGAGCTGCTAACCGTCTCACTGCCTCTCTAGCCTCTCCGTCCATACATCCTTCCCGCACTAGTAACACTTGTGGGAACCACGTCGCCCCACATCGGCGTAGCTGTCCGTAGCTGTCCGTCCTTGATGGCATAGCTATGTTCTCAAATTAAGCCACCCGCTTGTGCAATGGGGCAATGTTCCTCCCCAGCAATCCTTGCACATCTCCCCTCTGCCTTCTCGCAGTCCTTTTTTGAGCGCGAAATATGCGTCGGCAACCTGGTGTGTCCTTCTCCTGCCCTTCGGAACGACTTAATCGTCATCCTCATCAAGAGGTTTTTTCTTTCCTTTTTTCTTTCCCCTCTGGGAATGGCGACCCGCCAGGCGTGCCTACAGGCCGGCGGGGGCGGGGGCTCCCGCCCGAGCGAAGGCAAGCTTGCTTGTCCCATCTGCGCTTCCAAACTCGGCAAGTGGACTGCGGGCCCGGGGGCAACCGGTGTAAAGTGCGCTTGCGGAGTGGTGGTGGCCGCACCCGCATACGCGGTGCTGCGAGCGCGGTTGGACATCCTCGACGCGCAGCTCGACATTGCATCTGCGGTTCAGAGTACACTTCGGGCCTATCACGAGGAGGTGGAGGCGGGTGATGGCAGCGGTGACAACAGCAGCACCAGCAGCGGTGACGAGGCGCCAGGCGCTCGGAAGAAACGGCAGAAGCAGAAGCGCAACAAGACCGCCAATTTTAGCTCCTTTCGGAACAAGAATTTTGGGTTTAGCCTCAAGCAGCAGAAGCAGCTGGTGGACAGTGTTATGGCGGCAACGACGGTGGATGATTGTGGCGGTGTGGTGGGGCTTGGAGCGGTTCGGGAGGAGGACTCGGATTGACGGGTTGCTGTGTAGCTGTGGAGGGGGGCGCCAGCGGGTAGCACACGCCGTTAAGGTCGGTTCTGTGTGGCCTCTTGTGTTAGTTAAGTAATACTATATAGTGAGGACGGACTTGTAGTCGCAAAAAATGAACAGAAAATGAATCGAAAATGTGGTTGGGCATGGTTGGGTTGGATTGTGCTGCCGGCTGTTGCTGCTGCTGTCCCAGTTTGATTGCTGCTGCTGCTGCTGTTTTTGTTCTCGCGGCTTGGCCTTTCATCCTGTCACCCCGGCCGACATATCCTAAGAGCTTCATCAGTAGGAGAGGTACTTGCTTGGGGTGTTTAGATGTATTTCATATTAAGATCCCCTCTCCCCAGCAGCATATGCTGCTCAATGGTCTTTCCCGTCCTTTTTCTCCCCGCTCGGCCAGGGTTTTTTTTGAAGGTAAGATATATTTCTCCCGATTTCACGGACACACGTTACATCAAGGGCACGACTCGCATCTTTTTGCACCTACATTTAGAACTTGAAGTTGCCTCTTGCAGTTGTCGGCGCACCAACATGGGTCATCATGCTGCACACCACAACCCGGATCATAAAGGCCATCAGATCTTGCTTGGTCCACCACCATACCGGTATCACTTTTATCTTAACGGTTAAGTGAGGTTTGCATCCATCCCGCGAAGTGCCAGGGTTGAACTAGCGGACTCTTTAGACCTCCTGGACCAGCCTAGCGCTCCCCTGACTGAGCGAAATCCACAACAGCAGTGTATCGTCATATAATTGCTGGCGGCTGCGGCGGCGGTACATTCGCCAAACCGGTCTGGAACCAACCCCATACATGCAACGTGGAGATGTCGTCCAAAAAATTGTGATTGGCTGCCTTAGGCTGTCAATGTCCCCGTGGGGAGAAAAGAAGCCACAACGGCTGTGGGTGTGTGGCGCGGGGTGACAGGGAATGCAGGATGGTGGAAAATATAATGGCGGCCCCTCTGGGTGGCTGGTGGCAGGCAGGGGTTCCTGCTGCACATCCCCCCCATCGGTGACCTGACCAATAAACGGCGGTTCCCGCCGCACCCGCCGCGCCAGGGCGCCCTAAGAAACAACTCAACCTCTAAACCACAAAAGGACTTGAGCGCCTAACGACAGTCCCTGGCTGCCCGGGCGGACCTAAGCAACCCCCCCTTGATTTGGGTCACCCCCCTCTCCATTTTCCTACACACATTCACCCACCCAAGTACCCAACTTCCAACCCAACTTCCAAACCACCCAACTACCACCACCTTAACTCCCGTTACTGTTCCCCCGGCCCTGCACAAAGGCTGCCAACTCCCCGGGCACAACCCCACACCCCAACACCACATCCCACAGCACCATCTGCTTGTAGCTCCGAAACGTGGCTGACAGGCGCTGAGGCCCAGATAGCCGAAAGGCCGAGGTCACGAACGCATCCCTGCCCGCGGCCACCACCCCAATCTTCGCCTCCACCTCAGCCACTGCGTGCGGAAGTAAAACCCGAAGCAGCTTGCCTAAGGGCGGCACTGCACCTGGTGTGTTAGGGACAACAGGTTGTACGGCTTGCGACGTCTGCACTGTTGCTCCAGATGGCGGGGATGTTTCTACCGCTGGTGGGGGACGGCCGTACCGCGACTTGATACTGTTACTGCCGCCGCTACCGCCGTCGCCACCAGCAGGGGCAGGGAACCCGCCCTCGGCGGGTAGCCGGGTGGTAGCCGGGGCTGTAGCTGAATCTCCATTCCCAAACGGACCCATCGTCGCCATTGTCGGTATAGCCGTCGCAGCAGCCGTAGCAGTAGCAGTAGTAGCAACTACTGCAGCTGCTGCAGCCGCCTCTGGCAGCAAGTCCGCGAACCGGGGCAGCAAAGTCTGTGGCGCAGGTAAGGAGATGCAATCGGGGTGTGGGGTGGGACAAAAAACATATATAGAGAGAGAGGCAACAGCTAGATGTTGAATTTATCACCACCCCCACCTCCACCAGCACCGCCACCAGCATTTCATGCAGCAGCACCGCTTACTATCACCACCTAGCAACCATCCGCCTTCCGGGGCACATCACAGATGCACAGACATACGGACATACATAAGACGGTCACACCAGACGGTCCACGACGGTCACACCACAACCGCAATCGCCGCCACCACAACCGCCGCCGGGGGCCGTTACGACGCTAACGCCTACCTGCCAGTAGCCTCGCAGCTCGGCAGCCCAGTATCGGCCTTCATCGCTCTCGGGCTCCACATCGACCTCAGCCTCAGCAGTCGAAGGCGACGAGGCCACCGCCGCCGCCGCGACCCGTGGGTCCGCGTCCGCCAGTAACGCCGCCAGCTCCACCAGAAGCCCGCCGGCATCCGCAACAGCGGCGGTGGAAGGTCCCGTCATCGCCGCTGCAGCCGCTGATGATGGCAAAGACGCCGATGACGGCCCAGCTGACATGCTCCACAGTAGTTCCGCTGCACGGAGCGCCACAGCGCGCTCTGCTGCGGCCACATCTCCCCCTCTGACAGCCGTGAAGGCCCGCATCACTGCAGCGCTCACATGCCCGCCCGCGACCACCTGAGGTGTCCACACCGGGTGGGGGGTGGGGGGTGGAGGATGGAACTGAAAAGTGCGCTCGGCTTGCTGCCCGCCCCTCGCCCACACCACACCACACCACACACCACATCAACAACCTATGCAACGCAGATCTCACCGAGAGTCCACCTCCCGTCTCTTGCCTCTCAACCTCACGCACCCAGCCACGCACCCAGCTGCTCACCTTGATTTGGGCCAGCTGTCGCGCTACCTCGGGCGGCAGCACCTCACCCTCAACCCCGTGCTGCTGCTTCTGCGGCTGTAGCTGCTGTAGCTCCTCACTGAGCTGCTGCTGCCCGGCTTCCAGTGCGGCTAAATACAGCCGCTCAGCTGCTTCAGGGGCCAGCTGCAGCGCCCCGAGTCGCTCGTAGTGCCATTCAAGGGCGGCTTCCAGGTCAGGCCACAGCACCGCGTCGTCGTGCGGGTTGGCGCGGGGTACGAAACCTGCGTGACCCGTGGGTCGGTGGGTCAGCAGAGACACACGAGCGGAAGAGAGCCCAAAGTACAGAAGCACTTAGGGCAATGTGAGTACAATACCTCACAAATTCACACAACAGTTGCAATGTTGCCAGTTGGTGGTTGCCGGTTGCGCACCGTAATGAAGGAAGAAGTCATCGTTGGGTCTCTCCCCGTACGACAACAGTAGCTCCTGACCGGGGTGTATATCCCGGGTAGCACTAACCGCCATGGACCACCCGCCGGCTGAGGAACGATCAGGGGGTAGCAGGTCCCAACTGCAGAGCACAATCAAAACGGTTGGGAGGACGGAGAAACCCCCAGTTGGAGCCCGCACGTGGAGGAGATGAGACTCTCAAGCACACGGGTTGGATCAGGGCTTAGGAGAAGGAAAGAACCACCCGGGAAACAGACGTTAAATTACGCATATATAGCCTTAGGAAATTTAAACTGCTTTTGAAACGGAGGACTTTAGGCGCGATGAGACTCTCATCTGCAGACACGTGAACTGCCGAGCGGAGGGGGGACCCCGGGGGGTGGAGGCAGGCTGGGGTTGCGCCGGCGGGAGTCAATGAGAGAGCTTCACGGCAGATGAGTGGATAATGGTGCGTGCCATGTGCCTGTGTTTCGCGTCGGCATGTCAGCGTGGCTACGAAGGGGGAAGGGGGAAGGGAAGGGAAGGGAAGGGAAGCAGTGGACACCCCATCCCGGTTAGGAAGGAGGGGGGTAAAGGACCCGTAGGGCGAAAGGTCCGCGGGGGGGCGCTTTCCTCTTTCCCCTCTTTTCCCCACTAACCCACCACCCAGCCTTCCATCCGCCCCGATGCAACCACTGCGCCACCCACCGCACATTGTCCGTTGCCACCTCTCCCCCTCCGGGCCCCACCAGCCCCAGACTCCCCTGCGCTGCCGTATCCCCGCCGTGGTTGAGCATGTCGACCAGGGGAACCAGCATGCGCACTCCCACACCGCCCCCCGGGGCCGCGTTGGCGAAGGTGCGCGAGTGAACCACCTGAAGCCGCGGGGAGGGAAAGGACGACAGAGTGGGATCGAGAGGAGGAGAGGAGGAGAGGAGGAGAGGAGGAGAGGAGGAGAGGAGGAGAGGAGGAGAGGAGGAGAGGAGGAGAGGAGGAGAGGAGGAGAGGAGGAGAGGAGGAGAGGAGGAGAGGAGGAGAGGAGGAGAGGAGGAGAGGAGGAGAGGAGGAGAGGAGGAGAGGAGGAGAGGAGGAGAGGAGGAGAGGAGGAGAGGAGGAGAGGAGGAGAGGAGGAGGAAGTAGATAAAAGTTAAAGACACCAAAACCAGCGTGGCGTCCTCAAAATAAACAGGCATGTGAACAATCGAGAGCGACAGCAGGCAGCTCTGTATGTGAGTAGCAGGCCCCAACCCACCAATTCGTTACACCTTTTCCCGCCACACACACACACACACCCACCGACAGAGCCCAGCGGAACTCCCCCTCCCCCAGCCCCCCCCGAGCCTCATCACTGGTGGACTGGAAGGCGTCCGCCCTGAGCCAGTCAGCCGCGTGGAGGGCCTCCAGGGCGGGGGGGTAGCGGAGGGAAGTGAGATCCTCCCAGGAGTAGCACTCCAGGGGGGCGGGGACGTGGCGGGGGAGCACCTGCCGGGGGGAGGGAGGAAAGGGTGCGTGGTCGTGTGTAATGATGACGCGTGGGGGCCGGAGAAGCAAGGGCGCAGGGGTTTTCGCATTGGGTTTCAGAAGTTTTTCAGAAGTCTTGTGGGGTTGTAGGCATAGGGGGTGACACGGAGAGGTGGTTAAGGGGACATGATGGCATGGACAGAGACATGGGGAGTGTATGTGTGGTAATGGTGCCGTACCTTGATGTACGGCGCCCAGGGTGAGCGATCCCCTACTGCCCGGTGACGTAGCAGCTTACATGCAAGGCGGACGCTCCAGGGGGATCCCTGCCCCCGGGGTCACGGGTCGGTATGGTGGTTCGGGGAGGGGTGGGTTCCGGGGTGAGGTGAGGTGGAGAGAGCCGGGTTGGGGTGTCGTGTGCACGGCTCAATCCGATCCAAGCCACAACAAGTTCACCATGTAGTCAGGGGTTGCCACAGCTTCTCTCCCACCTAGCACGCACACCCGAACTCCCCAAGGCTGCTCCCCCCTCTCCTGCATCCCCCCGGCCCTACCACACACCTTAGAACACACACCGGCACAACCTCCCGCACACGTTTCCCCTTTACCTTGTACACTAGCTGGTTAGATTCCTCGTCTCCCGGGTGATCGGTTAGCGCTAGCCTGAGGGGCACCTCGAACACCACCTCCCCCGGGGAGATGACCTGGGGGCGCCCGGAAGGGGGGAAATCGCGGTTCGGTGGGAGACGGCGGTTTCGGGGGACCGAATGGGATGGAGATGTGTGGCGTACAGCAAATGTACTGCGTACGACAAACACGTCCCTACCCGTCCTTACGACATGACACGCCAGATAGCACAGCCATACTCGTCACGGCAGTACGATAGAATGATGAACAGGAGATGGAAAGAAGGCGCCGCTCAGCCCCCAAATGACGGTTTGTGCCCCAAATGACGGTCAGCACCCACACACACAAACGACACACGGCCACCCTATGAGCCCCCCCCCCGCCCGGCGCACACACCTCTTCGCACAACAGGCCCCGTTCTCCATTCTCAGTCTGGAACAGAGCCACCTTGCTACCCTCTTGGCCGATGCCCTTCACGCCTGAGTGCACCCCGTGGTGGAACACAACACAGCGGTTGGAGATCGGGGGGGGGGGAGGGAGGAGGGAATCATCATGCGGGATTCATGGGCTTGCGGCATCATGGTCTCTACCAACAGTACCATGCCTACCGTTCGAAACTAGCCAGGTCAAGAAACGCTGGAGGTCTAGCTCTTCGTTGGACGCGTCGGATTTTGACGACGACGAGGGAGCTGCTGGCGCATCGGCAGCAGCAGACAATGCGGTGCTTGCAGGGAATCCGTGGCGTTGCTTGCATTCAATTTTTCTGTGTGAGAATCTGTTTGCTGCAAATTGTACGGTCTTCGCACGTCTATTTGCTCTTGGAAATGGTCCGGATGCTTGCACGGGGACAACAAATCGGCGTTCAGAATCAGCGAGCAGTCGCCGAGTAAGCCGATAAGCCAGCGTTCCCTTCATTTTCGTAAACAAAGTGGGAAGTAATGCCGCTTTCCGCATGGTGTAATTGTAGTTGATGCGACGTTGCACGGCGAATCAACGGATAACGGCAACACAAAAATGACAAATGCAGGCTTGCAGGGCGTTAGGGCATAGGAATTCAATTTTTTACTTGGTGCCAAACAATGCAACATTTGAAGTTTTATTGTAAGCAGTGACTTTAGATTGTGCAGAGTAGATGTAAGCCCCAATGCCACCCGCAAGTAAGCAGCTCTTCGTGTTTTTGCTGCTAAGCTATGCTACTTGGAAGCACAAGCTTCTAAAATGTAAGTAAATATGTATTATCAGACGATAATGCTGCAATTCTTATGGCTTGAACGCCCAGGTCGCGTCATGACGGTTGCAACGGCCGTCGCCTCGTTCGGTCGTTAACAACACCTCGAACGCGCTCAAAGGTTATTAATGCAAAGATACATGTATACAGATTCTTTTTATCTTTTAATCGTTTGGAAAACCTTGCATAAAACCGGAGGAAACCACTTCTGCAAGCACTTCTGACTGAATGCGACACTGCAAGTTTTTCACTCTCCCTGTAACTAACCCTCATCCGCCATTCCCCTTTTTCCCTTAACTGCAACCTGCACCCCGTACTCCGCGCCCTGCAGATACCGCTGCCCAAACAATAGGGCCCCAAATTCGCAAGATACATACCTATGATTCCGGCGGCGTTACCTTCACGTACAATCCCTGGCCGATGCCGTACTCCGCCGCGTCACAATGGTGCCGTGCAACTGCCTCCTCCCTGGTATCCCCCGCCGACCTCCTCCGCCGCCCCGATGTCGGCCTTTGGCTCATACAGACTGCCATACATGGCAACAGCAATGGCAACCCCTGCCCTAGCGGAGCCCAAGCACGCGAGGCCGGCGGGACTGCCAACAGCACCACCGGTGCTGCGCCTCCGCCTCCGCCTCCGCCGCGCCCGCATCCGCACCCTCCCGCTCCAGAACCAAGCAATGCAATAGCGACTGGGGCCGTAGCAGTGATCACTTCGCGAGCTATTGCCACTGTAGACGACGTACCAGTCGTTGGGAATTCTCACCTCCACGACCTGCTGTATGCGAAACCGCCGCCGCCGCCGCCGCCGCCGGTGCCCGCAGGGCTACCGCCCGCAGCAGCTGACACGGTAGCGGCTCGCCCGCGCACGACCCCCACCCTGCTGATATGGGTTGGAAGTCTGCCGCCGTTGCGGAATTTCGCGCCGCCACCCGGCGCCAGCCCCCCATGCTCCCCAAGCTCAGGTGCTCTGCCAGCAGCAGCGGACGAGCTGCAGACGCGGGACGTTTGCTGCTCCTCCGGCGGCGGCGACGGCGGCGACGGCGGTATCCTGCCGGCGGCGGCGGTAGACAGGAAGCGGCAGCAGCGGCGACCCGGCGGCGGCGGCGGTGGCAAAGCAGCGGAACCTGATGTGGAGCCGTCGTCGGCAGTAGCGGAGGCAGCAGCAGCAGCCGCAACAGCACCAGCAGCGGCGGCGGCGGCGACGGACAGTGAGTCTGAGCAGCGAAGTGCGGAAGTCGTGAAGATGGAAGCAGAGACGGCGTGTCGAGTGGCGGCGCTTGTGCTTGGGGACGCCATGCCCCGCTGGACCAGCTTCTCATGCGATTATGATGCCAACGACGGCGATGACGGCGGCGGCAGCGGTGACGTGGCGGCGGCATTCCTATGTGCGACAACAGCGAACCATCCACTTGCTGCAGCTGACGGCGGAGGTGGAGGTGGAGGTGGAGCTGGGAGCGACGGCGTGGCGTTGCCGCCACTCGCGTTGTCAGCATCCGACCCGCCGGCGCAGGGCTTCACGATACGGCCATCACCGGGGCCGCCGCTGCCGCCGCCACCGTCGCAGACACCGCCGCCGGGCGGAGGGGAAACCGTCCAGGCAGAATCGAACCCCAACACCCCATGCACTTGCTACCCTGGCGAGCCTTTTGCGGGTGCGGCCGCATGTCCGGGGGCGGCGGCTGTCCCGGTAGGTGGTGCCGCCAGGCTGGAGGCGGAACCGACGGAGGAGCCGAAAAGGTCTGCCGCGATGTACGAGACGCTGACGCGGGCCCTTGTCGTGCTTCTGGTTGCCCTGGCTGCAGTACTGCTGACCATTGGGCACTGGGTTGCCGTACGGTTCTGGGTCAAGGATGTACGGGATGGAGGTGACGGCCGCCGGGCTGTGGAGCCCCAGCCCGCCGCGTGCACTGCCTTGGCTGGGATTGGTGGTAGTGGTGACGGGGCCGGCGGTGATGATACCGAAGGCAGCGGCGGCGGCGGCGGCAGCGGCACTGGTAGAGGCGACGGCGACGCCGCCGTCGCCGCTGGCGGCGGCGATGACCATGTTAGAGACGGGGCATGGCGAGTTGTTGTTGAGGTTGAAAATGAAGAGGTCGATTGTGGGGTGAAGCTGATTCTCAGCTCACGCAAAAAGGAGCCTGGGGAGGTGGTCATGGCTCCGGCCTGGCAGGATAAGCCGTTGGCGGTTGGTGGCGCAAGTGCTGGTGTGTCGGTTGAAATTCAGTTGTCGCCAACGACCTTTCCTGTTGCTATCACTTCTGTTGACCGTACTGGGAATGTTTATCCGACACAGGTGCCCTGGGAGGAGATTTGTGGTGCTGGTTTGGGGCCGAGTGAAGCAAAGTACGACAGTTGACGATAGACGGCAGACTTGAAGGCAACTCCCGTAACGTGATAGTTATTGGCTGCGTAAAAGCCAATGTGAATTTTCTGACAAAGGAATGCGATTTCGGGGTGGTTTAAAGTTCGAGAGGCGGTGAATGGCTTGTTTTCGATGGGGAGGGATCCGGGGGTTCCTGCACCTGTTCAGTCATTAGGTACTCATTGCCAACCTACCGACTTGGATTCAATGGCGGGGACTGGATTTCGTAAGGCCAGCAATATATAGCCCGAATTTAGGGTGCGGAAAGACTGTAACTAGTCGAAATTCTGGTGGCCGCGATGCCGTACTGTACAGCGCTGGACCCAGCCCTTCTGTTGTGTGTGTGAAAATTGAGCGGTGCACGATGTAAGAATTCTGATGGTGTTGTAACTAAATGCTTATGCCACTGAATTCCGTGATGAGGATAGCCTCCTATAAAGCGCATACGATATTGAGCCGGGCTTGCTTTGTAGTAGGCAACACTGACCCAGATTCACAACAAGTTTTTATATTTTTTTGATTAATGGTTCTGTGGTGAAGGGTGCAATATGGCGGCCGCAGGTTAGAATTGCATGGCAATTCCATCTCGGCTGGCGACAGCCTGCCCGCAGAGGCGCACGCACCAATCGCTTTGTGGATCTTCTTTCTCTGGGTATGCTTAATTGCTTGGCTGCGTGGTCGCATCAGATGTACTTGAATTTTGTGGTCCTTGCTTGCAGACGCGAACACAACAATGTGCCTGGTGCTCCCTTCTGCAGCAGCAACCCCTTGGTATGAGCACTGTAAAGCTATACCAGCGCTCTACGGAGCTGCTTTTGATCTGAAGTCCAAAGCTCACTTGCCTTATCCAATTTCTGCAGCCGACCTCTACGTCTCTGCAAGGGCTTGGGCCAGATTCTCTCCTATGCCTACGCACATCCCGAGAGGCGATTATGGACACATCTGCCGTCGCAACGCCGATGGGCAGAGCCACCCTGGGTCCGGTGAGTTGCACCACTCTCAGTCCCTCCTCAACCCTGCTCCCAGATAGCCCGCGCCCCAACCCACCTAGCAACGAGCTTTTACGTTCCCCTCTACATTCCCGCACTGGCCATACTACCAGCCCGAGTCCTCCGTCAACGTTGATAAGTGCGTGGAATGGAGCCGGAACGTCTCCAGCGGCTCAAGTCACCGCATGAGCGCCCCGTCCTCCGCATTAGTGACGGAGCCGCGTCCTCAGCCGCGAACGAATGGCACCGCCTACATATCGCCTCAGCAGCATTTTCTAGAACCACAAGAAGAAGCCGCTGACGTCGACGTCGACACGCGGCCCTTGCTGCTGCAGCTACAGCCACCCCCACGTCCTCCAACTGGCCGCTACGGCCCTCACCCTCCGAGGCCCGCGGCGGCCAGTTGCGTGCCGGTGGATCCGGGGCCCTTGGTTCCAGAATCCACAGGCTCACAGGATCCAGACGGATCCAACTCCACGCTTCTGTGGCCCCCAGCTTGGAGCATTCAACGCACTCCCGAACAGCAGTACCTGCCGCCGTGCCTCCCGTCGTCGTCGTCAGCGTCGTCGTCGTCAGCGGCAGCAGCAGCAGTGGCAACAACAGCCGCATTGTCGTCGTCGCCATCAACCTCCGCAGGTGCTACATGCCGGGGTGGAGCCCGAGGCAACGGCCATGGCCGCGGCTACAGCCGGGTCGGCCATGGCCGCAGCTACAGCCCTGGCGGCGGCGTTACCGCCGCCGCCGCCGCAGCAGCAGCTGGGGATTCCCGGCGTCACGATGCGCTAATGTCGCGCGTTCTTGCGGCCACCAATTGGTACGAACTCCGTGCCGTACTGATTACCGGCGGCGGCGGTGCTACCGACACTGCTGGGCTCGCTGCCAATCCCGACGCCGTGCTGACGGTACTGCGCCGGCTAGCCGCCGTCACGGCGTACGACATGCGGCCTCCGGAGTCGGCGGATCTGGGATCCTTCCTGGAGCGTTGGCTGGTGCAGCACTCGGGCGCTCTGCGGCTCATGGGACCAACACAGCTGAGCTTGTGTTTGCACTCGCTGGCGAAGCTCGCACGGGGGGCCTTGCCAGCGCCGCCGCCGGTCTGGACGGCGGCTTGGTTTGCGGCAGCGCAGCCGTACCTGCTGCAGTACAGCTTCCGGCCCAAGGACCTCAGCTTAAGCCTGTGGGCGCTGAGCCGCCTACAGGTACGGCTGCCGCCGGCGGCGCTGCAGGTGCTGCTGGCGGCGGCGGAGCCGCACTTCCCGAGGTTCAACGGCCAGGACATGTCGCTGGTGGCGCTGGCGCTGTCGACGCTGCAGGCGCGGAGTGGTAGCGGCGGCGGCGCCGCGGCGGCGGCGATGGCGGCAGCACCAACCTCGCTGCAGCTGCTGCTGCCTAGCGCACTGTGGCAGCAGCACTTTCTGGAGCGTTGCGCGGCGGTACTGCCGGAGTGCGGGCCCCAGGCGCTCGCCAATCTGCTTCATGGCGTCGTACGGTCGGGCATGGCGGTGCCGCGCTGGCTGCTGGGAGACGTGTGCGCTGCGCTGTACGGCAAGTTACCAGAATGCAACCCACAGGCGCTCGCCAATGTGCTGTCGGCGCTGGCGGCAGCCAGGTACCTTCCCGAGGACGAGGGCTGGGTGGAGCGGTTTCTGGCAGAGAGCGCGGCACGCATGACGTACGGCAATGCTAGCGGCCGGCTTGCCGCGGTCGAAGCGGCCACGGCTGGGATCGGAGCCGCGGCCTCAAGGGCTTCAGGCGGCAGTGGCGGCGGCGACGGCGGCCAGGTCTGTAACCTGGATGATCTGACGCACATCGCGGCGGCGGCGGCGCAACTGGCGCTGGCGCCGCCGCGATGGTGGGTCGCGCGGCTGTATGGCTCCATAGAGCTGGCCCTGCCGCGTGCCAGCCCTCGCCAGATCGCGCAGGCCCTGCATGCGGTGGCGCAATTGTACAGATCTGGAGCCGCGGTGGCAGCGTCGCCGGCGCCGCATCCGGCGGCGGAGCCGGCGGCCGCTGGCAGTGACGGCAGCGACCCGGCGGAGGGGGGTCTGGCGGCGGCCCCTTTGCCGCCGCCGCGCTCCCTGATTGCCGCCTGGCACCGCGCCGCCGCGGTGGCGCTATCGGGGTTCAATGTCATTGACGTGGCCCATAGCCTATGGGCGCTCGCCGCCTTGGGCGAGCGGCCGCCGCCAACGTGGCTGCAGCGCGTGCTGGTCACCTGCCGTAGCGGGCTTGCCGCCGCGCCACCAGGCGACTTGGCAGTGCTCGCCTGGTCGCTTTCGGCGCTGCGCTTTCGGCCAACGTGGTCGTACTTAGCGGACGTCGTAGACGCCAGCGAGCCTGCGCTGGCCGCCATGACGGGGCAGGATTATGCCATGTTGACGTCAGCGCTTGTTCGGCTGGGCTGCAGGCCGCGGCCGTCATGGAGTGCCGTACTGCTGGATGTGTTGTGGGGTAAGCTGGCGGAGCTGGAGGATAGGTCGTTGTCGCAGACCGTTTGGGCGTTATATCGGTTGCGGGTGCAACCGCCGCCGGAGTGGCTGGAAGCGCTGGCGACGGAGCTGCAGCGTCGCTGGGAGCATCGGCGGCGGCGGAGGCGGCCGTACCAGGCGGCAGAGGCGGCGGCGACGACGCTGACGGATGCGAAAGTAGTAGTAATAGGCGAAGAGTTGGGGTACAGTAGCGGTGGCGGCGGCGGAGAAGAGGTACGGCACATAGTCGTACTGTTGTGGGTCATGTCCATGTGGGTTGGCGTGGAGCGGCGGCGGTTGCGCATGGTTGGGGAGCTAAGGCCTAGAGCCCGTAGTGGACGCGTGCTGAACCCTGGTGTCGATGTTGCTGGGGGTGGCGGCGGCGGCGGCGATGGCGGTGTCGGTGCTGGCGGCGGCGGCAGGGTTGAAAACGCCATCGGGCAGCATCCACACGTGCACGTGCATGTGCAGCCGCAGTCACTCGTGGCGTCAGGGGGTGACGCCGTCAGGGTGCCGGAAGTGCCGCCATCTCCGTCATCGACACCGCCTCGGCAACTGGGGCTGGGGGCTCATCTTGCACTAACCGGGCGGCGGCGACAGTGGCGATGGCGGCAACCAAGCTGTCGCGTTACGGCGCGCATGCTGCGTAGGCGGCGGGCAGCAACGATCAAGTCAGCGGGTAGTAACTTGGTTGGCGCCCTCGGCGGCGACGTCCGTGCCGCCGCCGGTTTCCGCCGTCGCATCGCCGAGCAAGTGCTGGGCCCGGCCATGGATGCAACAGTGGCGGCGCTTGCTGCCGGGTGCGTCACATCCCAAGATGTGGCGCTGCTGCTGGCGGTGGTCCAGCGGCTGCCGTGCGCGTCGCGCTGCGCCGCGGCAACACGGCCAGCTTGGCGGCGGGCGTTACTGGCGGCAGTCGCGCGGCGAGTACACGACTTACCGCCGACGGGGTTCCTGAAGGTGCTCGGCGGCCTGGCGGCGCTCCGGCTGCCCCTGGAGCCGGATGTGGCGACGGCAGTCGCCGCCGCCGCCATGCCGCACCTAGCCGCGCCGCATCTCCCTGCACTGCACAAGGTGGCCTTGCTGGACCGGCTGTTCCGCTTGAGGGTGGTGTCGCCGCCGCCGCTGCCGTCAGCGGGCTCGCCGTGGGGTCCCGTGCTGGTGTTTGGCCTACGTGCCCTGAGGTGTGTCAGCGAGTCAGCGGAGCCGCTGTTGCGGCTACATGTTGAGATCATGAAGGGGCGGGTACGGCTGCGGAAGCTGGGGGCATCCGACGGTAGCGGCAGCGGTGCCGCCAGCGCTCAGGCCGCCATGGCATTGCGACGGCTTGGTGCCGCGAGGGCGAGCGGCATGGCGGCAGCGGCAGCTGGGAACAGCGACGCGGCGAGGCTATTGGCGGCGGCGACGGCGGACGTGCGTGCGGCCGTGGCCGCCGCCGCCGCCGCAAGCGGTGGTGCTGTTGATGTTCCTGTGGTGGCGGCGGCGACGGCAGGGCAGGAGGGCGACCACGACGACGACGACGGGGCTGACGGCGAGCATCAGCGGCGGCGGCAGCGGCGGCGGCTCAGTCACCGAGTGCCGCCGATTGGCGAGGAGCAGCGTGCGTGGATCTGGCGGCGTGCTCGCCGTACAGTAGCGGCGTACATGGCCGACAGATCACCGGTCCTGGTCATGCAGCTCGTCCAGATCGTGGCGGAACAGAGCCGCCAACTTGACGGTGCTGCCGCCGCCGCCGCAGCAGGACCAGCGGCGGTGCTGCCGCCAGGGAACGTCCCGCCGCCAGCACCAACGCCGCCGCCGCCGCTGCCGCCAGGGCGGTCCCATGTCCTCCTCAGCCATCTCGGTGGTCTTGACGTACAGCCGCTGCCGCCGCCATCACCCGCGCCGTATTCAGAGCTGCTGGCCATGCGCGAATCCCTCTTGTGGCTGGCAACGGCCACCGGTCACTGGTGGAGTGCGATGTTGCCCGTGCACAGGGGTCGGGCAGCGCGGGCATGGCGGCGAGTGCTCGGGTCGTTACAGCGGTCCGAGGGCGGCCGTAACGGCTACAACGGCGACTGCAACGGCGGCGCCAGCAACGGCGTTGAATTGGCGTTTCAGCTTCGGATACGGCTTCCTCCTGCCGTGGCTGCGCGCCGGAGGTCCGGCCGGGGCCGCGGGCGCGTGGTTCGGAGGAGGGGGCAGTCTCCGGGGGGAGAGCATGGCTTGTTAACAGCCCCTGCTGCGGCGACAGCGTCGGGCACGCTGTCATCGCCGTCATCGGCGGCGGCGTCAACCGCGCCGCTAGCTGTCGTCTCTTTTTAAAAGCTGTGGGTTGGGTGGGCTGCTCATAATGCCCTCGACGGCTCTTTCCCCGCTACCCCGTGCAGCCCATCGGGCGTTGGGTATCGGGGCATATGGAGCTGTATGGCCGTATGGGACGGGGGGTATGAGAGCAGAGCAGTGGGTCGTTGGTACGGCACTGCAGAGGAAGGTAGGGGGCAGCTGGTGCGGGGGTGCGGGTGAGGAGCCAAGTTGTCTGTAATTTCCAGAGGAGGCTCTTTCCCCCCCTCCTCGCCTCGCCTTTCCTTTCATCTCCTCTCCTCCCTGGAGTGGAGTGCAGTAGAGAACTCTCTTGCGGCAGCATCGTTGGTTAGATGCCGCTTGGTGTTACACCGCACTGCACTCTGCCGTACTGTACTGCACGGTTGGTTGGTTGGTTGGTGTGATGAACGGACATGAATAGGAGCACTCGAGTAGCGGACTTCTGTGAAGGCGGGGAGTGATCCCGGTAGTATAGGCAGCGCACGGTGTATTGGGGCCTTAACTGGGGTCTTTATATTGGGGTCTTAAAGCCCAGGTTAGGTGTTCTTATTGTTGTAGAAGAGCACAGTTGCACACATACACAGACACAGACACAGACAATAAAAGGCATACGCACACACAGACAACGGCCTGCCCGCATGCGGCATATATGTGGTAGCGCTCGTAACACGCAGTTTTTGGGCGAGGCCCCCCGGGGTTCAATGCTGTCAGTCAGTCAGTCAGTCAGTCAGCGTCGTGTCTCATAATGAACTCGCATGCCACGCTTAACTGAAAATTGCATTTAAAAGCTAAAGCTAAGTTCTCCATCGATCGCCGAAGAATTAATGCACAACTCACACTTCGCAACTCCAGTCCACCCATGCCAACTGCTCCACAAGACTGCCCAACTTCTAACAAGACCGCACATTTGATTAAAAACATACGCTGTACAGAGGCAAACTTTTAAATTTGGACCAAGTTCACAAACAGATTTAGCGGATACAATACTCGTCATTAAAGCAGCTATCATTAAATTGGCCTGGCAGGGACATTCCAACAGTCACAATTAGCCTGACAGGGACACGAATTGGCCTGGCAGGGACATTCCGACAGTCAGAATTGGCCTGTTCGGGGTGTCGAATTAGGGAAGCACAGGAATTGTGCGACTGGGGCAGTACAGTACAAAGAATTGCTCTCCCCGACCTTGTGTCCTACCCTCTAGTTACCCAACCGAAGCAACCGGCTGGGTTGTATAACCAACCGGTTGGTTACAGACCTTTTACGCCACCATGGGTTGCAGTGAGCGCGCACTCTGCTGTGCACGCTGCTTCTACTCATTTGCTGCTTTGATTGCTGTGTTGCTGCACACGGTTTTCTCGTGCTTTCCGTGGACTTTCTTGGAACAGCTATCCGCCACACTCCGCAACTCCAGCCCATCCATGCCAACTGCTCCAGCACTTCCCTCCTTGCCATCTGCTCCGTCCCATGCACATCTCATACATGTCCTATTTTCCAGTTCGGCTGGCAATGGGCTGGGTTCGCGCACTACCAGGAGGCTATAGATGCTCAGCCGTTCTTGTTGTGATGGAGGCGGCGCGCAATGCACTGTCCATGGGTATATGCCTTTGTGTATACATCAGGTTCATATATCACTCCAACACCGCCGGCCGCCGCACCCAGCCCTCGGAGCTATCCATAATGACGAGCGTTTAGCCCAAACACAACACCGTTCCTCCACTTGCAGCCCAGTGCCGTACAGCCTCGCCTGTGGAATCCTGCGGGGTGACTGGCTGCACCGGGGCCGAGCCCTTTTCAGCTTCACTATCCTAGCCTTGTCTTGCCACGGTTAGTGTGAACAGGTTGGACCAACTGAAGCGCATGATAATTTAACCCGCAGAGGACACAGCTAAAAGATCCTTAAAAAACATTACTTCGCCAAAAGCGCAAATCCACGCCTAATTGCGAATCGGGTGGTCCAAACGCAGATCCGGTGCAAGGTAACGACGAATACCTCGCGCGGGTTTTCAGGAGAATGGCTCCTCAGTGGTTGAAGAGGAGGGCGAGCCGCCGGACACATAGAATCCTGCATCGCTTCCCTTGCATGATCCTGCGACAGCAGCAAACCTCCTGTTACCTAATGTAATGACGATTTATTTTACAAATCCGCAGACCTTTTCCCGTAAACTCTCAACCCTCCTTGAGCTTCCCATTCCCCCAACAGAAAAGGCGAAAAAGCAAGAAAACGACCGAAAAGGTGTCCTCAGTCTCACTCAGCGATGTTGGCGACCGCCGGCCCCGGCTGGACACGGCCATGACCTCCCTCCTCTCATGACCTCCCTCCTCTCATGACATGACATGACATGACATGACATGACATGACATGACATGACATGACATGACATGACATTGTGTGTAGGATAACACAGTATGACATCAAGGGTAGCGCCGCAGAGGTGACACGTGCCGCACCTATCGGATCATCGCCGCCCCAACCCAACCCCGTCCTGCCGCCCATCCCCTCCAAACATCCGTGCGATATAAGCTCAAGTCTGAAATAAAAACATACACGGCATTCAGTGACCACATGCCGAGGGGTGTTGGTCCTTTCCCACATCCCCCAGGTGCCACCCCAGGACCACCCAGCACATTCCTGGTGACCACAGTATCCACATTTCGCTGCACCGGAGTGCAGAGAGTCTACCTGTGCGATTGCAAATCAAGGGTAGTGCTGCCGGCCGCATAATTTAATTAACCCCCAAACACGGCGAGTATCAAGGCGAGTGGGGCCCCGACGGGGAACCACGGCCCCAGCACCGCCGGACCGGACAGCACCAAGGAAAAAAAACAGAGACGCACACCTGCCGAGCACTTTTTCAGTTCCCCCCACTTTTCCGTGGGTACATCCCAACCTGCGACATAGCGTGACGTGGCGGTGGCCTTATTCGTAATAAAAAGCAGCCGCGCAGGTGTTTGATCCCTGAATATGCAGCAAATGACTGCTTGTAGTTATGAGTTGATACCAAAAAAAGGCGCGGGTGGCTGGTAATGCCGCCTTGCCGACAGACAAATAATCAAAAGGCCGCATTATCGACGTGTGTTCGCAGTCCGTTCATGTCCGCAACCACAACCTACATATGGCGGGCGCCGATTCGTCGTTCTTTTCCTCATGCGCTTTTCCTCATGCGCTTATGTCAAAAATTGTACACGTCATGCAACGACAGCTGCAATGTTACGCCTCCTAGGATTCAGCCAACGCCGTTCCGTTTCCTTGAAACCCCAACCGGCGGTAATAGTCTCAAGTGATCAACAATTTTCGCCACGAATCCATCCTGTTTCGCTGCTTTGGTTTAAACAACCTTTTGAGTAGTCCGCCTGCTAGAAAACCCCTAGCAGGTCAGTAACCCGGCGCGGTAAGTAACAGCAGTAGCAGTGGCTGCATCACCACCAACAGCAGCAGTAACAGCATCAGTAACAGCAGCACCAACATCATCATCAGCAACCAAACCCTGAGTCCGTCCCCCTTAAAATCCCAGCACAGTTTCACAAACGTTTGCAACGCCCACATACTCCACACAGATATATGATTTGCGCTCTCATAAAAAATGTAAATCTTCCTCATATTTTTGCATTCCAAGATTTTTCTTAATAGTTGCGCCACGCATTTTGACTGTTATGCGAAGCTCTCTTCAGCCGTGCGATAAGTTTTGCAAGTCTGCTCATGTCCCCGATGACACCGCAGGCTGCAAAAGCCGGGGAACCCCCCCCCGCGAGTAAGGACCCTCTGCTCCAGGAAAGGCACGAGCCCACCGCCAACCACCTGGCAACCTCCTCCAGGGTCCGCAGCCCCCGCCCTGACCACCCTGGGCCCGATAGCATGAGCCGCTGCGAGGGGGAGGGAGAGAGAGGGCTTTCCGATGCCGACGCCGTTCTGGCTAGCTTGCCGCGGAGGTGCCGCGGGGGGGTCACGGGCGTGGCCCACGGGCCGTGGGACTCGCAGAACCAAATTGCCCCAAACCAACAATCGCCGACCGCCATGCCGAGGCCGCTGCAGCCGCCTCTGCTGCAGCCTCTGCCTCTGTAGTGCTTGTGGAGGAACCTAGCGCCTCGGCTTGACCCGTACGACTGAGGGGAAGTGGGGGAAGGGGGGAAGGGGGCCGGGTCGGGGGTCGGAAGGTTAGGGGGCGGTGAGTCCGGAGGGATGGGCCAAGGGCGCGCAGCCCCCGAAATGTCCGCATGTGTACTGGGGGCATGTGGGGAAGTTGATAGGCCTGGCGCCATGAAGGCATATGAAGGCATGCAGACACGCGCAGTGCGAAAGGGGGTTGCTGATCAGCACCACATGTGCAGGGTGGGGTGGGGTGGGGTAGGGTGGGGTGGGGTGGGGTGGGGTGGGGCCACCAAGCAGGCAGGAAGATGGACACACGGCAGGGGGTTATGCACCGTCTAACGGCCATGAGCCGCCAACGGGACTGCCCGATCTTGTGCTTGTCAAGCCAAGTCGCCCTTTTCGGGTCACACAGTTGACGGCCTTGGAAAGAATGGACGTGTCCAGGCAGCACCCTCCCTCCCTCCCTCCCTTCCCGCACCTACACACGTAAATCCACACACGCGCATGTAAACCGCGCGAACCCAATGTATACCTCAGCTCCGAGTTGGGATGAGGAGACCGCACCACGTAGCTGATGGTCCGTTGCAGTGCATCCACCACTTTATCAAACGAGGGTCGGTCTCGCGGGTTTGGGGAGCAGCAAGCCTCGCCCAGGCGACGAAGCACCTTGTAGATGTTGTCAGGCCACTGAAGGAACAGCACACCGGTGGCCAAACCCACCAGCAAACGGCCCTGGCGGATACCCTGCGAGTGGGAGGGTAAACCGGGGACGTGGGTGGGTGACGAAGGGAAACACGCACTGCAGAAGAAGACGTGTGTGTGTATAGGTGCGCGTGTGCAAGAGGGGAAGACGACGACATAGGGGAATCACGGGGGGGGGCAGAGAAAGGGGGAGAAGGACGATCGCGAAAGCAAACCCGCAAAGTCCCAAGCAAGAGGGCAGAGGGAATGGCGGCAAAGGATAGCGTCACGGCACCGTGTCACGGGGATTTCCCGCATCCCCAGATCCTCATCATCACACCGTGGCCAATCAGGCAACACCCGCATCCGCAACCCTTGTCCCTCCTTTCTCTCCATCTCCACCACCACCCCACACACAAACAAAGCAACAAGACACACACCCACATACCGACATACATACATACCGACATACATACACACACGTATCTGACACAGCCCCTTGGTCCCACCTGGAATGGCTGCTTGCCCGTACACATGTGGTACAGCAAACAGCCGTACGAGTACACGTCGGATTTCTTGCTGGGTCCGGCCTCCGGCACCTCCGGCGCCAAGTACGCCAGAGCCCCCCAATGGATCTCCATTCCACCCCCCAGCGGGTCACCACCACCACCCAGCACACCCCCTCCGCTGTTGTGGTGTGCGGGCATCGCCAAACCAAAGTCGGCCACCTGTTGTGTATGTGTGTATGTATGTGTGTATGTATGTGCGTGCGTGCGGGAGAGGGGACAGATTCGGGCCGTGGGTCGGTTGGTTGAGCGGTGGGTTTGATATTGTTATGCGGCTTCGGTATCTTATATT